CTCTCTCTCTCTCTCTCTCTCTCTCTCTCTCTCTCTCTCTCTCTCTATTTTAATAAAATAATAAATTAATGTCAGTTTAATGTTTTAATAAAAATTTTTAATTAAATACTTAATTACATTATTTATCTATAAATTTAATAATTTTTTAAAATAATATTTTTATTAAATAAAATTCTTATTATACATTATCTTTTTGTTTAATATAATCAATTTATTGTTTAATAATTCTATATATATTATTTAAATTAAATTTATAAATAAATAATTCATTAAATTTTTTATAATAATTGTGCATAATAACATCTCATAATAATCTGTCCCGTATAATTAATATAAGACACAATTGTATTACCATATTAATTTTACATTTAATTATTCTAACAAACAAACATATTAAAAATTGTTTACAAATCACAAAACAAAAATTATAATAAAAACAACATGAAAATACAAATAATTCAAACAAACATAATCCACCAAGCTACTTCAAATAATGCATATCTAAATACTCGGGCTCTTGGGGCGCCCTATGCTTGGGTTGCGTCACACTAGGACCGCCCATCAGGTACCGGGGCGCGGGGTGGGGCTGACCAGTCGGGTCGTTGGCAAAAGTTTCATAGTCATCACCAACAGACTCGTAGGCCATAGACTTACGGGCCTTACCAAAGTCATCGGCGCCACCATCATCGTACATGTTGTCCACATCCTGGTAAAACTCTTCGGAAAATCGCTTACGGTGAGTCTCCTCGATCTCGTTCCGGGTTTCCCGCAATTCCCGTTTTACGCGCTTAGAGTGTTGTCGAAACACTATCAGTACGATCGCCACGAATATCACTAATACGGCTAATAATATGCCAGATATGGCGAACCCAGATATACCTGTGTAGGGGATGTGATATTTAATTATTTACATTAACAATTTATATTAATTTTTGCACTATGTTTAGAGCAACCAAAATATGAGTCATTGCTGACTAATGTAATATGCAGACTAACCAAAAACCATGAATTAGTCAAAGAATGATAACATATAATATTTAACTAATGCTTTAAAATGAATAAATAGTTGTAATAGTCATTATTGTGTTCAAAACTATGAAAATCGATTTCAAATCGATTTCAAACGGTTGGCCTACTTTCGAACA